TGTAACTGGAAGTGCATGAGGCTCATGTGTTGGAGGGGAAACAATCTACTCATTTCTGGTTCTCTGCCATTGGTACAACCTGGGATTAAAAAGAGGGCGAGGAGGTAAAGGAGGAGGAATAGGAACACTAGAATGAGAGTGAAGTGATTGATCCTCCCTTGACTCATTTGGAGGAAGAGACTCAACAAAAGACTCAACTAGAACAGGAAGAGGAAGAGCAAACACCTGTGACAAATCCTCCCCCTTTGGACAATGTCTCTCCAGAGAAGAACCATAAAAGGCTATAGTTCTCTTCTCTCCCTTGTTCGAACACCGAACCACAGCAATGGCAAGCGATGGTAATCCCCAACCTCCGGCGGCCGTTCTCTCTCCCTCTCCTCTTCTTCTTTCCTCTTTCTTTTTCTTTCTTCCTTCTTCTTCCTCCTCCTCTCTCAGTTTCCGTCACCTCCATAGATCTCTCTCTCCCTCTCTCCTCCTCTCTCTCTTTCTTCCTGTCCCGAACCAGTTGCAACAGCAAGCCATCCCTCCATAGAGCTCTCTCTCACCTTCTACTTACCAATCCATCAGAACTCTCTCTCAGCATCAAACCTCCCTCTTCTCGGTCATCCTCGCTTGGGCAGAACCGCCACTGCAACTCCTAGCAGCAGCAGTGCCCTCATTTCAAACTCTCTTTCTTTTCCTCTCTCCCTCTTTCCATTACTGTCAAGACCGACAATCATTCTGATCCACTCTCCATCGCTTTTCTCTCTCATCTAAATCAAACCAGCATTTCCTCATCTTCTTTGTTGAGACAGTGGCTGCGATCAGAGGTTCCAAAATCGAGTAACAACGGCGACATCCGGCCAGATCTCTCTATCACTCTCTCCTCCTCACCAGTTCCATGCCTTTCGGCTGAAACTGTTGATCACTTTCTACTTTTGGACATCCAGCAGAGGTAGCGGCAACCATCTCATCTACCTTCTGTTTTTACCTCTTCGAAATTCCTGATTGCAAGCACCGAACACCAACCAGGTTGTGTGGAGAATGGGCATCAAGAGGTGAAGTGCTGTTGATCGAAGTGCGCCGACAGGTCATCGCCTGTCTGAATAACTTGGGTGACAGTGTTGATCGAAGTGCTGTTCCCTTTGGGAGAATGATGGAGGGTGAAAGAGGATTCAGAGCAGTAGGAAGATGGAGGTCTGAGGTGTCGATCGAAGCCAAGACGTTCAAGTTCGAAGAGGAAAGGACCAAAGGCTGTACTGAAAATCAGAGAGAATAACAGGGCAACAGTGTTGGTGTCAAAGGAGGTTATAGCATGGATGAAAGGTTTCATAGATGGGGCTATCAACTCTGGTATGGTGAATGGTTGGAAAAATTCCATGTCAGTTCCAGGCAAGAGATATGTAACAGAACTGAATAGAAACAAGAAGGGGTGGTTCGTCACTGTGGTGGAGTTTTTTGGAGCAAATGGAAAACAAATGCTTTGTGTGCCGGAAGGGAGATTGCAGAAAGGGTCGATGGCTTTTGTGCAGGTGCTGCAGTCTTACCTTGTAGCTTCGGAAGAGAAGGGAGTGGATGAAGGGAAGGCAACTGGCCAAAAGCTTGAAGACCAGAGTCAAAAAACTCAGGAGGAGGCAGCATCGATTGGAAAAAAAGAATGGTGTTAGTGGCTGATAAAAGGGTGACAGATTGGAAGAAGGTTCTGAGTACAGTTGCAGGAGAGATGGGTGCTGGGAATGAAGCAATGC